GTTAAGGCATTTATCATATTTTAAAAAAAATGAACAATATTGGTCAATATTGACATCAATCAATGTTAGCAAACACATGCTTGCAATAAATGGCTAACCAAGTGTTGCAAGTTTAAATTTTCACAGTTGTAGTTTTTATGCCCCCGTCATCGAAGATTCGGGAGCATATAGTTTTTGCACTGTCCGTCCCTCCGTCTGTCTGTCTGTTTGTACGCAAAAACTTTAACCTTGCCCATAACTTTTCATTGGTTGGAGTTATGGCTTTCATATTTTACATGTGCATTCCTTATGACAAGACCTTTTTGGGGGATACCAACATGTTTGACCTCTTGACCTTGGAGTTTGACCCACTTTTGCAAAATGTTAACCAAACTTTGACCTTTTGAATGGTTGGTGTTAAGGCTTCCATACGTCACATGTGTATTCTTTATGACAAGACCTTCCCTTGGACACCATTAATTTTGACCCTTCGACCTTGTAGTTTGATTTACTTTTGAAAAACATTGATCTTGGCCATAACTTTTGAAGTTGGTGCTAGGGTTTTCATATTTAACTCTTGTATTTCTTGTGACAAGACCTTATATAATTACCTTGAGTACTAACAGTTTTGAAGTTTTTTTTCCTTGACCTTGGAGTTTGACCTACTTTTGAAAAAAACTTTCATCATGACCATAACTTTTAAATGGTTGGTGCAAGGGCTTTCATATTTTACGCGTGTATTCCTTAACATGATAAACGTGATGACTTTAACTTTTCAATCGTCAACTTCCCTTACTTATGCAGCAATATACCCTAATCACCTGCATATGGGGTTTATATCTCTCAGTTGATTCGATACGCCCGAGCATGCTCTACGTATGAACAATTTCTAAAACGAGGTAAGTTATTGACAAAAAAGTTGATGAAACAAGAATATCAACAGTCTCGTCTGAAGTCATCATTTCGTAAGTTCTATGGTCGATACAATGACCTTGTCAGCAAATACAATCTATCATTAAGTCAAATGCTGACTGACATTTTTCACACTATTTGTTAGGTCATTATTTACACACTGAATTGTCGACGGATTTTTCCGTTATTTCCCGATCATGACAAGGAGCACATGGCGGGTGTGACCGGTCGGCAGGGGATGCTCACTCCTCCATGGCACCTTATCCCACCTCTGAAGTTTTAGAGGTCTGTGTTTGCTCTGCTCCTATTTGTGTAATGTTTAATGGACTTTTGAGCTCGAATACTGTTCGTATCTTCACATATTTCATTGTGGTAAAACCTTCCCTTAGGCACCATAAATTTTGACCCTTTGACATTGACCTTGAAGTTTGACTTACTTTTTAAAAACTTTGACCTTCGTCATAATTTGAACCATTGTGCTAGGACTTTCATATTTCACAGGTGTATTCCTTTTGTGACAAAACGTTTCTTTGGGTACCAATAGTTTTGACCTTTTGACCCTGGGCTTTGACTTGCATTTGAGAAACTATAACCTATGCCATGAGCTCCAATATTGAACATCAGTGTTTCACAAACACATCTTGTTTTTCTTTACATTCATAGGAGAGTACTGATACTATCATAATCGATGGTTTCAAAAGTATTTGTGATAAAATCTAGGCTTTATAAATTCCCGATAACTGAACTTATACTGACCTTTCATAAAACACTCAGATGGGTATTCTCTGTGCTTTCTTTCATGCAAAAAAAAAAAATTATATTTAACGTATGTGGTCTGAGTGATAGTAAAACAAACATTTCAATAAGTTTAACTTCGTATGAAAATATTTTTTGCTCAATTGCATCGCAATACCATATACGCATGCTTTATAGACTTTTACAAGATGTTGCTTTTGATCGATATGTGTGTTTTGATATTATTAAAATCAGAAAAAAAAATATATCAAATGTTAAAATCATTCAACATTTTTGCTTAGATTTTTGTGGCAATGTAAGCTGCAGAGAACTTGTACGTAATTGAAGAGTTTCACATAAATACCAAGAACTTATAAAAAGATGTACAAGAATAGATTAGAACTAAATAATATCTAGTGTACGGTAATCCAGACACGCCGTGGATACTGTGTAGTATGCATGTTTGTGGTTGGTCAGAATAATATAAAAAACATTGTTCCACACCTGCTCTGCTCTACAAAGTGTCAGATTACTTAATTGATCTATATGTACAAATTAAACTATGCATGTACACATGTTAATCACGAATCTAATTTTATGTCATTGTATACGCATTACTCACATGTTACTAATGTACAGCTCCAAAAACTTTTTAACCTAACATGCTCATGTGAACTTATTTGATATACGTTTTGGAAATAAATATATTCCTACTAAGCAAAGGTGTACAGAAAAGATATAAGGAATTTAGCATTTTTAATAAAGATTTTATGTTCGAGATTGATAATTGATCTTATGGCACTTAGTTGCTCCCCTTTCTACATGAGAACAGGCTAAATACAATTAGGGATGTTATGAACTAAGTTTTCACAGAATGTCTTTTCTTTTTAAAACTTACTACCATCCCCGCTGAAGTATCTTCCACATTTTTTTTCAACATTTTTTACAACATTCCTCACAGACCACCCTAAAAATACCCTGAATTGTGATTGAGTTTTCAGACCGAGATAGTATAGATTCTGAAAAGGCTTTGCGTTAACTATGAGAAACTCCGTCATGCTCATAAGATGTTAGTACCACGTGTGCTTGTTTAGTCTTCCCCATAAAACGAGTTGCATGTTTGATGTAGCAGCATGTCGTAACTCAGAATGCACAAGAGAGTTTCTCAAACGAAATGTAGTTTTGTTGTCCTGGAACTGCCCTGATTCAAACCAAAGAAAATCAATAAAAAAGTCCAAATCTTTCTTTAAAAATCCCATCAACTTGTAAATTAAAAGATATGTGGAAAGTACTCTAGCGCGAACGGTTCTCTACCCCAAAAATAAAGTTCATAAAAACCTAGATCATTACATGTCAAATTGCAGTATGGTTGTTATTCGTGCAAAAAGGGGAGCAAATAAATAATACACAGTAGATTTTCAAGTATACTCTATGCACAAGAACAGACCCCTTGTTAAACCCTTTATTATCACCTCCAACAGGCTATATTGTTGATGCTATGGGTCCTTATTTGTCCAAAAGCAAAAATTATGGTGCCTCCATAATGAAAAAAAAACAGGAGCAACATAATGAGCTTTCTCAAAGAAAATGACGTATTAATTGTAGATCGGGATGCCGTTGAATTTCTTGATGAACTTGGTTTCCAAACCAAAATGCCCGCCTTCCTTCAAAAGTCCGCTAAACAGCACAATACAGCAGAGGCTAACATGTCACGTTTAGTGACAAAAGTCCGTTGGGAAGTAGAGGCTGCAAACGGACGAATTAAAAAATGGAAGTTTCTTGCCAATGTCATTCCTAATAGCCAAATACCTAATATAAAGGATTTTGTGCAAATCGTGTGTGCAGAAATAAATAAATTTTGACCGCCTTTAAAAAGCAACGATCAAAACGATGACGAATTAGCACGTAAAATGAGATTAACAGCTCTGGAAAAAAGCAAAAATTCTGTTCAAGAACGCATCAGAAAAAATTCAAACTTAAAATTCAGAGAAAAATGAAAAAAAAAAAAAGTGGACTAATATAGAAGCACAGCATGCATTACCAGATTTTCCCAAGTTAACTGAAGATGAATTGCGTATGTAGACTTTTGGGGTGTACCAAATTAAACAAGCCCAAAAATATTCAGATGAACACCTCGGGGAAGGTGACTATAAAATTGATCTGTCTTGTGAGGAATCGGATTTACTACACGCCCGTATACAATCACGACATACGTCCAGAAAATTGTACAATATCTGGATTGAGTATTCCACGGAAAATGTGACCGGGTGGTATTGCGAGTGCAAGGGTGGTTCAAGAACAGTTGAATGTTGCGCACACGTATGTTCGGTAGTGTGGTACCTTGCATTCGCAAGACACAATGGTTTCCAGGCTGCACCTGATGTGTTCACATCTTCGCTGTGCGATGCTGCTGATATTGTTGCAGAAATTGATTCTGGAGAAGAATCTGTTTAAGCGTTAATATTCAATGTAACTTGTCAGATACTCAATTGTAATTAAAAGTATATTATATTGGTATGCTATTTTTATAATTTTCATCTCTCTCTCTCTCTCTCTCTCTCTGAAAGTTCTTATTTCCAACTACTGAAATTTTATACACTTGCGTTGATTTACACTCTATAATCTTATAAAGAATACAAATTCAATATCTTTAACTGGTCATAAGAAGAGATAATTATAATAAGAATTCTTTAACAAAGTATTTTATTGTTAAGTAACATTTCTTGATGCGCGGAACTTTTGTTTAGGTCTGTCCTATTGTGGTCAGCCGACCAAATCGTGACATATTGTTATGATCTTTGTGCAACTCATCAATGTATGTTTTAAAATAACTGGAAGGCATGCAATAAAAAAAACTTTTCATCTGAACAACAGCTATTCCATACAGCATAACTCAAAAATATTACGATAATTTTGATATAATATTGATATCAGCAGAATATTGGCAATATAAGTAAACTGAAGCTATAAAAATTCAGATTTTTTTGTAATATTAAATAAAAATTTTGACAGAGGAAATTCGGACTGGCATATTTTACAAACTCATTGTTGAAACTCTGAATATTTATATATTTAGTACATTATCATTATCTTCAATATATATCACTTTCTAGAGAGGTTATTTGCCATCTGAGTAAAGGTCATCCTTAAAAGAGAAGAAAAATATGATTTCTTTCGTTTGAGGAACGAATTAGACAGAAATAATTTCCCTTTGGTGTTATAATGAATTACTTGTTCGGGATTACAAGATGTTTATTCGAATACCTGGTTAATATCACGTGGTTCTTTAGAACCGGTCTCGTTAGCAAGGGCATATAAGAGATGAATAATTGTTTAAATGCCAGTTTAGGACGACACGTAGACCACGATAAAGATTTAAATTTTATCTATATTTATTCAATCCAACATACGATATACATGTATATAATTATGAATTTTCATATCTTACAAGTTTTATGTACAACGTACAATAAAGCTGCTTCGTGTCCTTGCTTTGTCCAAATAGTGTGTTGTTGTTTATTGTACTTTTATTTGAAAGTAATGAGTGGATTAAAGTAGAATTAACCTATACAATATCGCTTTTTTTAAAAACATCTCATACAAACAAGTAGATCTTCTTGCGATTCAGTGTTGCTATATACTTTGATGAAATATAATATCAAAAGAGGGGCGTATACAATCTGACAAAATTAAATTCACATCAAAAATTGATCAACGTAATTGTATTCGTTTTAAAAGAAAGTAAAATGAATGTGGAAGACTGAGAATCTTAAAAATCTGGCCAAACAATAATTATCATGCGCGACTCTCAGTCGTCTCCAGGATATAATAGTCTCCTGCCTCCATGTCTTGTGTTTCCATATCCGGCGACTCTTTCTTTTCTGCATTTCCATTTTCCACTTCCTCTGTAACCCTTTCATTTGAATCCCTGCTTGTGGATTCATTATCACTCATTTTGGTTTCTTCTTCTTCAGATTTCATTTCATCTTGGAACCAGTCTCCAGAACGTCTATATGTAGGTTCCTCCATATCATCACTTGCTTCCTTTGTTTTAGTGGTTGTGTCTTTCTGCATTTCATCCTCATTGTCAATTTGCTTTTCTTTATTCCCCACTTCTCTGGTGAACCATTCCTCTGAATCTCTGTAGTCAGGTTCCTCCATGTCATCTCTGAGGTCCCCGTTTGCTCTAACGTTTTCCTTTTCGCTACAAATTGATCCCCTTTCTTCATCTATTTTGGCAATCCCTGTAAGGTTATCATTACTGTCTTTAATGGTGCCTTCCATGGCTCGAATCTGCGACAACTTGCTGGAGGATAAATACCCCATGCTGTCGGTACCTTGGGAATCGATTGCATCTCTGGGGCTGAGTTTACCGTACTTTGTGATTTCTTGTGTTGCACTTCCGTCCACCGACTTTCGTGGATCAAAAGTGTAAAATCCGTTAGGAGTGCTTTCCCTTTTCACGGATGTCGTATAACGAACTTGTACACTTTCTTTCACAGATTTTCGAGCGTTAAGGTGGTCATAGTTATCTTCCTGTGCCTGCAATGTCAAATGCTATTCTTTAAAAGTCTCTATATAATTCTAACATAATGCTTTATTTAACTATGTATATGTAAAAAGTTTCATCCATGACTGAAAAACAGCCAGCCTTCCATATATGCATCGCTGGAATATTTATACATCGGTATTAACATGATTTCATGAAACAAAATTTTAAGGGGGATTCGTTTTTCATAAATCTGCAGACATCTCAATACTATCGACAAGGTCTATTTGAACTTACACTTAGAACACTCATTAATTTTGCCTGTTGGATCTCGTTAGCTTCCTCAATTTTATCGTAGATATCGCTTTTATTTCTAGGAATAGGAAGTGGTCGTCTCAAATTTGGGAAATTTGTGCTACTTATGGATGCTTGATCTCGTTTTCTAAATGAAAAATAAATAAAGAAATGATTTTTTTTTTCTAAAACAGTAAATTGGTTTTCTTTCCAGTTGTCCATGTCCTGAAACAAATTGAGCTGTTAGAAACTTGATATATTGACTTGAAATTTATTATCTACTGACTTTGCTTTCAGAATTAAGATTTTTAAATCAAGGAAATTTCGTGGGAAAATACGGAATTTACCTAATTAGTTGACGGTGTTTGTACAATATCAACATCACAAGCAGAGTTATCAGTATTCCAAAGATAAAACAGCCGAGAGCTACCCCAGCCAATCCAGCCACGGAGACTGCTGAAAAACAAGGTGTCGTGCCAAAAAAGCATACAGAAGTCAATATATAGTATATATTTACAAAAATAAAATTATATTATCTTTCCAAAAACAAAAATTCGTTGAAATCAAACTGGCAACTTCAAACCTTCAGTCGTCAAATATCTATTCCATAATCACTTACTATTTTCTTTTTTAACTCTCAGAACTATCACCAGTGATGACTATTTCAGGATAACTCACCTTCATTGTTTTCGGTGGTTCCTCTGTTGAATGAGGCAGGAATTGATGAGGTGGTCTCTGTGCTATTTTGGGTCATTGAACAATTTAGTGTTAAAACGTAGAAATCATCACAGAACAGCTGGTCAGATACATCAATTTCTGAACATAAATCAGCTTTGACCATCCAATCCATACAAACTTGTATTCCAGTTTTCTTGGCTCTTTCTAAGGTTAGCGAATAGTACCATGCCTCATCATCACAATGGTTTTCTATTTGCTCTCTGATTTTCTAAAAGATCAATGAATAATCAATGAATGTTAAAATGATCAAATAAATCACTTCAGGGGCACTTTTTTGTTTAACTGTTTAAAGTATTTTAATAAAATTAAACAGCGTTGAATGAGAATTCCATCTTTAAAAAACTGTCATAATCATCCTCTTATAGCATTTTTAATAAATATAATTATGTACTTTGTATTGAAAAAGTCTTTCTCTTTGAGAAAATATCTTAAATAAGCTTTCTTTATAAATAATACAAATTGTTAACCTGCAGTTCTTCAGTGTTGCACCCATTCTCGAAGACACTTCTGTATCCTTTAATAACACGGTCCATGGCACAGCGCACAAATGGGGATGTATACTGATTCAAAATTTCCTCTCCTAATTTTTGAATTCTGCAAATATAAAATTTAAATCAAGATTTTACAATGTATTTATTTCTTTAGATATGTAACATTCAGTAGAAGTGCTGCGTAATATTATATAAGTATTGCTGTTTTTTCTCTCTTTTTTCAGTCAATGCGACGATTTAGCCACCTGAGGAGTACAATATTATTCTTCGAGGGAGGATACACTATCTATTGACAAAAAAAAAACATTTAAAATTGTTTAAAGATATAATTTAGTTTAATGTAAGCAAACCATGATACATTTCTTGATTGTTTACATTTGTTGAAGTCCTAGCCAAATGCAAATAGAAAAGCATGGTTAAAATAAACATAACCAGTTATATTAATTTGGAATTTCTAGATAGTGCACTCAAAATCCAAAATTATACAGGTATATATAAATTATGTAGTGCCTCTCAAACGATCAACATTTGTGATGGACAGAAAGTCTGAAGGTTGACATATACTTAAAACTAATCTCCCTCCTCTGCTACAACGTATATGAGATCAGCAATTGAGAGAGAGAGAGAGAGTACGAAACTTACATTTTACATCAACTCAACAAAATGGATAAATAGAATTTAATTTATCTATATTTTTACCTGTGTGGTAATGATCCGGCTAACATCGTAATACGTGTACAATGTTTTTGAAGAATAGTAAAAATAATATTTATGGAATCGTAGCTTATTTTTATGCCCTCGTAATCGAAGATTCGGGAGGATATAGTTTTTGGTCTGTCCGTCCGTCTGTATGTCTAGCTGTTCTGTTTGTTAATCTGTTTGTCCGTAAAAACATTTAACTTTCCCATGGGTACCAATTTCCCCCCTTTGTAAGGGGACCTGTTTTTGTATTCATATGAAGCAGAATTTATTCAAAAACTTCTACATGAGAAGAAGAAAAAGCTTGACGTGGCCTTCAACTTGTCATTTAGATATATTGACGACGTATTATCAATTAACAATAGTTACTTCCTTTCATATGTCGATTCGATATATCCCAATGAACTTAAAATAAAAGACACCACAGAGTCAGACATATCTGTTTCATATTTGGATATTTTACTAGAAAAAGACGTTAATGGTTTCCTAACCACAAACCTTTATGATAAAACATGATGACTTCAACTTTTCAATCGTCAACTTCCCTTACTTATGTAGCAATATACCCTTATCACCTGCATATGGGGCTTATGTCTCCCAGTTAAAGCATGCTCGACGTATGATTAATTTTTAAAACGAGGAAAGCTATTAACCAACAAGTTGATGAAACAAGGATATCAACAGTCTCGTTTGAAGTCATCATTTCGCAAGTTCTATGGTCGATACAATGACCTTGACAGCAAATACAATCTATCATTAGGTCAAATACTGACTGACGTTTTTCATACTAATTGTTAGGCCATTATTTACGCACTGAAATTTCTACGGACTTTTCCGTTTACCCGATCATGACAAAGAGCACACGGCGGGTGTGACCGGTCGATAGGGGATGCTTACTCCTCCATGGCACCTGATCCCACCTCTGATGTTTCCGGAGGTCCGTGCTTGCTCTGCTCCCAATTTGTATTGTTTAAATGGACTATGAGCTTGAATACTCTTCGTTATCTCCATATTTTATTGCCATAACTTTTGAATGGCTGATGCTAGGGTTTTAATGTTTCACCTGTGTATTCCTTGTGACGGGACATTTCTTTAGGTACCAACATATTTGACCTCTTTATCTTGACGTTAGAGGTTGGCTTACTTTTGCAAAAATTTACCAAACTTTAACCTTAAAGATAATTTTTGAACGGTTCAAGCTAGAGCTTTCATATTTCACATGTGTATTCCATGTGTCCAGACCTTTCTTTGGGTACCAAATCTTGGAGTTTGAACTACTTTTAAGAAAACTTTAACCTTAGCCATAACTTGGTATAGGTGCTAGGGCTTTCATATATCACAAGTGTATTTATTTTGACAAGACATTTCCTTAGGTACCAACATTTTTGACATCATGACCTTGACCTTGGAGTTTGACCTTCAAAACTTTACCTTTGCCTAACACTTTTGAACGGTTGCTGCTAGGGCTTTCATTTTTAAACTCCGGTTAATAAAGGGCAAAACAGATAACGTAAACTTGGTATATACAGTAAAGTGTACGAAATGCAATAGCTAAAAGTTAAATCCAAAATAAACAAGCATTCTGAGAGTATTGCATTAGCAATACTAGTCCCCTACCGGCAAGTGTAATTAATCTGGTTCCCGTTAAGAATTGAAAATACCAAAATTCCGTCAAAAGTCAATGAAGCGGGACGAAATGCAAACTTGATCTGTAACTCATCAAGATACACTCACATACCAAAAATCAGCTCAATACCTGCAATCGTTTAGGAAAAAAAGTGCGGAAAACCAAGTGGGACAGACTGACAGACAGACAGAGGGACAGACGGACAGACAGACAGACAGGCAGACAGACTCAGAGGAAACCTATGGTCCCCACCGGTTTTACCGGTAGGGGACTAACAAGCATTCTGAGATTCAATGAAGCGGGACGAAATGCAAACTTGATCTATAACTAATCAAGGTAAAGTCACATACCAAAAATCAGCTCAATATCTGAAAGCGTTTAGAAGAAAATTGCGGAAAAACCCTTAGAAATTGAAAATACCATAATTCCGTCAAAAATCAATGAAGCGGAACGAAATCGAACTTGATCTGTAAATCATTAAGATACACTTACATACCAAAAATCAGCTCAATATCTGCAAGCGTTTAGAAGAAAAGTGCGGAAAACCAAGTGGGACAGACTGACAGACAGAGGGACAGACGGACAGACAGACAGACAAACGGACGGACAGACTCAGAGGAAACCTATAGTCCCCTCCGGTTTCACCGGTAGGGGACTAACAAGCATTCTGAGAGTATTGCATTAGCAATACTAGTCCCCTACCGGCAAGTGTAACCTGGTTCCCGTTAAAACATGAAGATGCCATAATTCCGGAACGAAATTTAAAGTTGATCTATAAATCGTCAAGGTAAAGTCACATACCAAAAATCATAAAAAGGTCATAATTTCGTCAAAAATCATTGAAGCGGAACGAAATGTAAACTTGATCTGTAACTCATCAAGATACACTCACATACCAAAAATCAGTTCAATATCTGCAAGCGTTTAAAAAAAAATTGCGGAAAACCAAGTAGGACAGGCTGACAGACAGACAGAGAGACAGACATACAGACGGATAGACAGCTAGACAGACGAACGGACGGACGGACAGACTCAGAGGAAACCTATAGTCCCCTCCGGTTTCACCGGTAGGGGACTAATTACAGGAAAACAGAGTTTGTATTGAATTTTTTCCTAAAAAGGTTAAAAGCTGTCAAAAAGGATAAAAATCCAATGAATTTCAAATTTTATCTGCACATTAACGACAGTGTACCAACCCTCAATATCACAGAGTTGAATCCAAAACTTCTTAAAAAGAGATTTCCATTGATGTTCAGTAAAATTAGAAAACAAAAAATTAATGTCATCGAACAGAACTCGAAACTGACCTACTATACATACAAGTAATAGAGAACGATATCTTATCCAAAATAAAAACCTATAGTCCCCTCTGGTTTCACCGGTAGGGGACTAACAAGCATTCTGAGAGTATTGCATTAGCAATACTAGTCCCCTACCGACAAGTGTAATCTGGTTCCCGTTAGAAATTGAAAATGCCATAATTCCGTCAAAAATCAATGAAGCGGGACGAAGTGCAAACTTGAACTATAACTAATCAAGGTAAAGTCACATACCAAAAATCAGCTCAATATCTGAAAGCGTTTAGAAGAAAATTGCGGAAAACCCTTAAAAATTGAAAAGGCCGTAATTCCGTCAAAAATCAATGACGCGGAACGAAATGCAAACTTGATCTGTAACTCATCAAGATACACTCACATACTAAAAATGAGTCAATATCTGCAAGCGTTTAGGAAAAAAGTGCGGAAAACCAAGTGGGACAGACTGACAGACAGACAGACGGACGGACAGACTCAGAGGAAACCTATAGTCCCCTCCGGTTTCACCGGTAGGGGACTAACAAGCATTCTGAGAGTATTGCATTAGCAATACTAGTCCCCTACCGGCAAGTGTAACCTGGTTCCCGTTAAAACATGAAGATGCCATAATTCCATTAAAAAAATCAACGAAGCGGGACGAAATGCAAACTTGATCCATAAAAAGGTGCGGAAAACCAAGTGGGACAAACTGACAGACAGACAGAGGGACAGACAGACGGACGGACAGACTCAAAGGAAACCTGTAGTCCCCTCCGGTTTCACGGGTAGGGGATTAATAACAATGCATTAAAATCATGTCTAGTCATTTAAAAAAAAGGTACTAGATTACTCTGTCATGTATCAGTGTTCTGAAGTCTAAATCTTATGAAATATTTGCGTTTAGAACTTACATAGCATCAACGATCTGCGAATTTTGTGGAAAAAGATCCTTAGTTGTAAAATGAGACGCATCTGTAGTTGGAACTCTAGACATGTTTGATGTCAAGGTGCTGTAAGGTGACGTCTGATGGTTATAAAGCTGGGTTGTTCTCAGCGTCGTGGTTGCAATTGGTGATCTCTTGTTTCGTAGTCCGCAACAAGGAGGCATTAAAATCAATATCACAACCAAGACTGCAATGATTATTACTGACTTCATCCTGAATCTGCAGCGTAAAAAAATGAGCGATACCTATAATATCATATTGATATCTACGTTAAAGGAGATGGGTGAACATGACGAGCAATAAGCCTATAGTGTGAAAAACATGAAGATGAACAATTAAATTTCTATTATATCAAAATTTACCTTGATATTTCGTCTAACATTAAAATATACTTTATGTAAAATCTCTACAATTTGCAAAAATCCCTCAAAGTTTGAAATTATTTGCCTGTGAAATATTAGACACATACTAAAGCGGGCAAAAAGAGTCATTTTCGCATACTATAACAGTCGCCCGCGTGGCGCAGTGGTTAGAGCGTCTGCTCTAGAGTCGCGGCGTAAGGAGTTGATCCTTACGTCGCGGGTTCGAATTCAACTGTGGGACGTGGAGACCAGTCCTTCGGATGAGACCGTATAAACTGAGGCCCGTGTCGCAGTAGGTGTTGGCACGAAAAAGATCCCTCACTGCTCAATGGCCGTAAGTGCCGAGTATAGGACAAATTTGCAGCTCTCCACCGGCAAGTGGTGGCGTCTCCATATGAGTGAAAAATTCTCGAGAGGGACGTTAAACAACATACAAACAAACAAACAAACATACTATAACACTATTTTTCGATATGAGTGGGTCTTCGCTCCACCTTTTTGAAAGTTAATCCTCAAAGTTTGCATAAAAATATACATTTTTTGCTTACCAAAAATATGGAGCAATGACCCACTATACCTTAAAAATATACTTTATGACATAACATTCGCATCTTTTCGAGAAATACTTGAAGTCCATTAAGTCAAGGGTCACAAACATGATTTAAATGCCACTGTACGTCAGGACTTGTGTAATCTAGTGGTTAGCGTGCTAGTCTCGAAAGAAAATGATTCTCAGGATTTTTATTGCTAGGGTTCGAACCCCACGAATACCACATTAATTTTTTTTAAGTAAAAGAATAAATTTTGCCGAGAAAATTTTCCTCAGAAAAGTTTTGTTTATCACAATTACATAAATTTCAATAATGAGAACTTTACTCTAAATATTAAATTCACAAATTGAACATGATTTTTATATTTCTGAAGCTATAGGCTTTCTGCACGCTATGTTCGCCCATCTCCTTTGGAACACTTTATAAATACGGGGGATATCAACTTGTCTAAAAAATTACACGCATTACAGGGAAATATGGAGCGCCAAATTATTTTTAAGGACAGACTATACGTTCCTCAATAATATATAATTTTTTCCAAGTTTTGCTACTTTCACATGTTTACTCACAAAAAATTGAGGTACCTTACCAGGCATTTGTGCATGATACCAATGGATAGTTCTTCTTGCATAATCCTTTTGGAAAAAATTTAATTTGCCAATATCAATTTTTTTAGTGTTTGAATTTTTTAAATACGATTAGAAACTGGTTTACAAATCAGAAAGTCATTAAAATTTTAAATATTTTTCATACTTTACGAAGATATACATAACAGATATTTGAGGAACGTATCGTCTGACCTGAACATAAACTCATAGAAATGAAGATATCATTAATCAATTGAAGATATCATTAATTCAGTTATTGCTCTTATCAATAATTGATCAATTGTTAAGCTCAGCAACGTAGTAGAATTAATATCCGCAAAAATTAATTTAGACTTTTGGTATATATATGTAAATAATTAGTTGATCTCTGTAATACAATTAATGATATCTAAAATTATTTTATAACGATTTGGTTAGAAGATTTAATGCAAGCGTTTTAAAGAGATAAAAAAAAATTAATCAAAGATATCATTATGTGAATCATGGATATGTTGAATAGAAGTTAGCACTATTTTAGAAGTAAGTTGCTCTCAGAAAGAATTGTCCACATTGATGTAATGAATTCAGTTGAAGATGGAAAATATTTCAAATGGATGTCTTAATACATGTATATATGCCATCGTTTGAATACAAATTGCTCTGAGGACATCAAGTAAATTACTGATACACACAGATTAAATTAATTGTTGTAATTGTGAATGTTTATAACCTCTTTATCCATTCTGACATTAAGCTGATATACTCAATGGTGTTTTGGGAAGGAGGCAACTGCACAGATTATAAGATTACGTTCAATATGATGATACCATGCGGACAGAAGATAAGGGGCATTGAATTCAGTAAAGCGATAATGTTGTGGGCAAAACTGCAAAAGCACTTTTGGACCTTTCAGTCTCATATGCAATGTACAATGTCCAGCAAAACAAAGAAAAAAGGTATACGACTGCAATAGTTTTTAAAACTAGCTATGATTAACAGAGCGACCTCAGTGTCTCATTCTCGATATACATATACATATATGTTGATGCAAAAGAAAATAAATGTTGTGGACTAACGGAGTGAGAAGTATTTTGTTACTACTATAATACTATTTAATAATACTATAAAATATCAATTTAATGCACTATTATATGGTGCTCTTGAAGGAAATCTGATTGAAAGAAGACCATTCTTTCAATTTAAGATATTAGATATGGATGATTGATTTTAGTTAACGTGGTATGAATCCAAGTGGAGCCATAAATATCTTTTTTCAAACCAAAAAATAGATATTGTATATTCATATCTAAAGGCTTGTCAATCTACGAGGGTCATTCAATAAGTAATGCAACATACAGTTTATCATAATAAGTATTTAATTTTATTTTTTAACAGTTGAAAAGTGCTATTAAAGAACTCCCAATCACAGAAAACCCCATGCTTCTTCCCATTGTTGTCGCAAAGGAATTCACTTTTAAAGTAAGCATGGAAATTGTTTAGAAATTATCTCTGCCAAGATGAAAATGAGGGCTTATATGAAAACTGTGCTTCATTACATAAATATCTGGATAACCCATATTAAAGATATGATTTTGATATGTGCAAAGACTAGTCTTTCACGCTGTACAGTTTTCAGATGGATTTGGAAATTTAAAAGAAAAAAAAAGTACAATTAAAAGATTGCAGTCAAACTGGTCTGTAGGGGCACCAAAAAATATCGATACTGTGAGCAACATGATATCTGAAAATGCCAAATTTCCGTTGATAGACTTTGCTAAAAGGAGATGGGCGAACATAGCGTGCAGAAAGCCTATAGCTTCAGATATATAAAAATCATGTTCAATTTGTGAATTCAATATTTAGAGTAAAGTTCTCATTATTGAAATTTATGAAATTATGATAAACAAAACTTTTCTGAGGAAAATTTTCTCGGCAAAATTTATTCTTTTACTTAAAAAAAATTAATGTGGTATTCGTGGGGTTCGAACCCTAGCAATAAAAATCCTGAGTATTATTTTCTTTCGAGACTAGCACGCTAACCACTAGACTACACAAGTCCTGATGAATAATGGCATTTAAATCATGTTTGTGATATGACCCTTGACTTAACGGACTTCAAGTTTTTCTCGAAAAGATGCGAATGTTATGTCATAAAAGTATATTTTTAAGGTATAGTGGGTCATTGCTCCATATTTTTGGTAACCAAAAATGTTTATTTTTATACAAACTTTGAGGATTAACTTTCAAAAAGGTGGAGCGAAGACCCACTCATATCGAAAAATAGTATTATAGTATGAGAAAATGACTCTTTTTGTCCGCTTTTGTGTGTGTCTAATATTTCACAGGCGAATAATTTCAATCTTTGGGGGATATTTGCAAATTATAGAGATTTTACATAAAGTATATTTTAATTTTAGACGAAATATCAAGGAATATTTTGATATAATTGAAATTTAATTTTTCATCTTCATGTTTGTCACACTATAGGCTTATTGCTCGTCATGTTCACCCATCTCCTTTAGACGAAATTTTTCATCGTCATAACAGTTTATAGAGTTCTGACAAATTAAATGAATCTAACAATAATTCTGTCAGATGGGTGCCTTATTTCTTTACAAATGCATAAGAGAAAACACACGTAAAATATGCCAATGGTCTATTTGAAAACAAGCATTTTTACAAAAATATGAAGATTGGATAAACTTGAGTGATGGATGACGAAACATTGGCGTACTTTTTAGAGCCGAAAAGGAAGATCAAGAATAAAATGTGGAATAAAAGAGAAAGCTGTCGTTCTATTATTGCAAAGAGAAGCAAGGGTTCCATATATGTTTTATTAATTTTCTTTTTATTCAAGAAGTCCAGTAAAACATGTAATACAGCTAAAGGAAGGACTATCAATGGTAACCTTTATGTAAAAATTTCACTCAGGAAAGTTAAGCCGATTTCCTGCAAAGCAAGCCCAAATACTGGTCCCCGAAGTATTTTTTCAGCACATGAAAACGCTGCTGCAAATAGGAATAGAGAAATTGAAATTTTGAAGAAAGGAAAGTTTACAGCGCTTGGGGATACCCCATATTAGCTAGATCTCAGCCATTGTGAGATCTTTTTCTTCCAAAAACATACGAAAGTAATCAAAGGAAGATTTTACAATATCAGGTATATCATGGAAAGTGCCATTCATCAGTGTCTTTAAAGCGTCCTACAGATGAGTATGCTGAGGTTTTTTGGTCATGGGTAAAAAGACTTTTTGTGTAAATGTTAACAGGGAATACTTTGAGGTATTGAAAGTATTGAGAATCTGCTTTACATGCTTTTCCTATTTTTAGATGACCTTTTGCATTATTTATTAAACGGCCCTCGTAAAGCTGAGTCCCAAGAAGAGTGGAAAATGTCTCCTTCAGGGACAATGCATCTATAGTGTGGCGAATACCACCTTGTCTCAACCAAACTGGAGAGGAATAAAACGTTCATTGAATTTATGGAACATTTTATTTAAAACGCACCTCTTCCTGTTTAACATCGATATGTACATTTAATGTTTTGTAAACAGTGACCAGAATTGAAAACACGTAATATTTCACGAATTCATTTTTAAATTCGATCCAATTCCGTGTGTACGGGGTATAATGTATTTGCTGGATTGAATTCAAGTATTTTTTTTTTTTTTTCGAAAAGTGTTTTTTAATGAAGTAAGATACTTTCATTTTATTCTGTCTTTCAGTATACCACATACATTGTATATTAGCACTGAATTCATCCATTTATTTTGTGTTTTCGTCGAAGTGAATTTTAATCGAATAAAATATTTTCATTTCATTCTATCTATCAGTATATGCTAGTATTGAATTCATGTGCTTATTTTGTTTTTCGTCGAAGTGTATTTTAATCAATTACAATACTTTCATTTCATTCTATTTATTAGTATAAATACTATAGCATTGAATTCATGTGCTTATATAGTTTTTCATCGAAGCGTATTTTAATCAAATAAAATACTTTAAATTAAATTTTACTCTATCAGTAAATACTGGCATTAAATTTATGTATTTTGTTTTCTTCCGTCGAATTTCTTTCATTTCATTCTATCAGGCGCTCCTGACAAGTTCTTGTACATTACCTTTTGTTACGCCATGTTCTTAGTAGTTACTGTTAAAGCGAAACAAGTGCAAGGCATTGGCCAATTATCCAAAGTGTCGTGGATTTGGTCAAAGTGATGGCCATCAACAAATATCAAAGTCGAAAATTTCAAATAAATTAATTACAAAATTAATTACAAACCTTTAATCTTTTCCTAAAAAAATTATATCATCCAGGAAATAATGTCCACATTTGCGTGTTGTCCCAAACGGTCCACTGAGCACAAAATGTGGCAATGTGAGCAGGTCCTTATGCACTGTCGATGCATTCTTTTACTTTAAATCCCACTATTGTGCAATATTGTGAATCAATTATGTATAGAAACGGTTTCAGGTGTCTTAAAAACCAGGTCAAATGTAGGTTTATGTGTGAAAAATGTAAACATATTTCCAACAGCCATATTTTAAGCATGACTTGTTGGACAATATTGATATTCAATCTAATTAAATTCATAAATAATAATTATATACAAGTTCTTGCCAGTTTATCATCATTTTCCCAAAGATCTTTCACAATACTTCTCCAACTTAAAAGAAAAACTCTATCCTCCGATTTGAAATCTCAGATTCTACATGTATCAACATCTTTCTCTGATTATTCAGTTACTCCTAATGCTTGCACTGTGTCAACTTTACCCAGTCAGAATCAAAAAGAAATTTTTATGCCCCGCCATGAATATGGCCGGGGCATATAGTGTTTGTCATGTCCGTCTTCCGTCCTTCCGTCACACTTTGCGTTTAGTCTGTTCAAAGCTCAGTTTCAAAGAAACTATCCAAGATATTTTTATCAATCTTCATATGCTGATAGATATTGATGAGAGCTAAGCAACTGCATCAACATTTTTTGACCTTGACCTTTCATTTGACCTTGACCTCACTTTTCTTAAATTAGTGTTTAGCTCAGTTTTAAAGATACCATTCAAGGTAGTGTAATCACACTTCATATGTTGATACATACTGATGTAAGCTATTCAACTGCATCAACATTTTTTGACATTGACCATTCCTTTGACCTTGACCTCACTTTTCTTAAATTAGTGTTTAGCTCAGTTTTATTGAAATCATTCAAGATATTTTTATCCAACTTCATATGCTGAAACATACTGATGAGAGCTTTTCAACTGGATCAATATTTTTTGTACCTTGACCTTTCCTTTGACCTTGACATAACTTTTCTAAAATCAGTGTTTAGCTCAGTTTTAAAGATACCATTCAATACATTGTTATCAAACTTCATATGCTAATCCATACTGATGTAAGCTATTCAACTGCATCAATATTTTTTGACCTTGACCTTTCCTTTGACCCTTGACATCACTTTTCTCAATTTGTGTTTAACTCTGTTTTAAAGAAAACATTCATAATATTTTTATCAAACTTCATATGCTTATACATACTGATGTAACCTTTTCAACTGCATCAACATTTTTTGACCTTGACCTTTCCTTTGACCTTAACTTCATTTATTTTAAATTAGTGTTGAGCTCAGTTTTAAATAAACCATTCAAAATATTTTTATCAAACTTAAATATGCTGATACGTATTTGTGAGAAGTATTCAACTGCATCAAAAACATTTGACCTTGAACTTTCCTGTGACCTTGTCCTCACTTTTCTTAGATTTGCATTTTGCTTAATTTTAAAGAAACCATTTAAGATATAAACATAATTTGGCGAAAATTTATCATCTATATCCAACTTTTTAGATTTCAATGTCAATTTTAAAGAAACTATTCAAGATATTCTCATCAAATTTCATACACTAAAACAAATTTTCAAGTTGCATTACTAATATACCCTCGGCGGGGAATTCATGTTCTATGGACATATTTCTAGTTTTTTTTTTTTTTTATTTTGCATGGAAAAGGATTCTGTCAAAGGAGATGGACTATTTGGCTCTAATCTGCAGACTACAAGAAAGTTACACACGTAAAAAAATGTTACATTCCAGTCAAAAACCTCGTCAAAAAATGTAATATTTAAAGTTTGCTTATGATACCATAGCATCAATTCACTTAGTTAATTATAAATATAGAGTACAGTTAAATGCAAATGCATGAAATATCAGTTGTTGAAGAAAGTATGGCCTTCGCTCTCTCAGTGCAATAATCATTATAAATAAAATTAATCTGACAAACGACTTGATCATTTTCCAAAAAAAAAAAAAAAAGTCTCCATGCCAGGATCAAACCCCCAAAAATTAGATTCATCTCTGTAAAAGACAGGTACATGTATCCTATACTAGTGCCACTGTGATATAAAAAGAATAATGAAGCAGGGCAGTAATTTACAAATGTTTGCTCATTTTGTTTAGTTAAAATGCACTATAACGTTTAAAAATCATGGAATGATGACCCAGAGATAGCAAATTAATATAAAAATGTGTTTAAAAAATATTACATTTTGTACCAAATGACTCATCCAGGCATATTTCATAGGTATTTCAGCAAATCAGAACACAATATCTGAAAAACATTTCCCTTTCCTATTTCATAGGAACCAGATATATCATTTGATGCTAAAATATCCTGTATAAGGTATTTTTAAAAAGCACAACATCCAGTTTATTAACAAAAAGCTGTTTGTATAATTTTCTTCGCTATCAGCTGTGATCATTTCCTCTAATCCATTTCAAACTAACCTTGTGAGTATAAAAACAAGTGTTTTATTAATTAGATGAAAACTTTCAACAAAATGGAGAGCAGGTTTATTGCTCATTTTATCAATTTGGAACACACAATCGTCTATAAGAAATATTTTTACATATGACCAGCATCTTAACATTTTAAGACTGTAAAAGAGCTAAAAAAAAAGCATATAAGACTCTCTAGATTTATTTTATCTTTCATAAAATTGACCAATACATCATTTTACAAGCACATTTAAAATAGCATTACAATTTCATTACTTTCTTTTTTGTCATATTAAGTAGTATAAAGCAAGACTATAAAGTCTTGTCATCTATAGAAACATCCAAGAGAAAATTCAATAACTTTTACAAATGTATTGGTACTTCTCTGTACTACATACATTTACATTGTAAATGGCACACAGCTCTTACAATAATTTTTAGTATCTTTCAGTGAATGTGTCTGAAACTTTTTCCTTAGTATTAATTAAATAATGGACAGTATTCATATAGCACTTCTCTTGAACAATACATTTTTTTTTGTAACTTGAATATTTCTTCAATCACAATTCTGCCAAAAAATATTACTAACAATGTAAATAAAATCCTGCTTTTTGGGGGGAAATGCCCACAGTCAATATATGTACCACATTACAGAATATAAATAATCTGTAGAGTTCTTATTTATATACTGATATGAGTTCAACAGATGTAGACACATATTTGTCAGCACAATCCATCACAGACATAGTCAAGGGAAATAAATTAGTTCTAATTAATTAACACACTCATTTGTTAAGATCCATCTTTTCCACCCCCTCGGCCACATTTTTCTCTTTCTTTTTCTGGGCGTCTTTGTGTTTCTTTGTTTTTTTGCTTTCTTCTTGGTCAATGGGTGCTGGTTTCACAAATGGAATTTTTACTTCATATCCTGCAATTGTAAATCATAATTATAACACAAACATATATATATATATATATATATATATATATATATATATATATATATATATATATATATATATATATATTCCACAGTTGTTTTTAATCATGTCAGTAAAGTGTGTATGTGAAAATACAATGAAAATAAATTTAACAAGATGTGTTTGTGAAACACTGATGTCCTTGTATGGCAGCTCAAGTCCAAGGTTAACTTTTTTGAAATGTAAGTCAAACTCCAAGCTCAAAAGTTAAACCAGAAGTCTCTGACGAGACTGTAGCTCTACTGGTTGTACTTATAAAGGAAGATAAAAGTAGCACTTGGACTTCAAACTTTGAAAAAGCAATACATAGAATAATGATCCTTGGTTTAGTCTCTTTTTGTGGCAAGATTTCTTGCAATCAGACTAAAACTGTAGGAGGAGTAGCATTTTGAAAGTATTTCAAGAAAATTTCTATTTTAAGTAACCATGGCAAAACTGTTCATCAAAATCAAAAACTGGTATAAAGAATTATGTATCTTAGTGTAGTCTATTTATGTGCTAAGTTATACTAAAATCAGACCAAAACTGTAGGAGGAGTAGTATTTTGAAGGTATTTCAAGGAAATTTCTATTATTAGTAACTATGGCAACAAAAATCAAAATCTAAAATCCATATAAAGAATTATGTATCTTAGTGTAGTCTACTTGTTTGCAAAGTTATACTGATATTGGATCAAAACTGTAGGAGGAGTAGCGTTTTGAAAGTTTTTCACAGAAATACCTATTTATAGTAACCATGGCAACACCATTCATTTAAATCAAAAACCGATACACAGAATTATGTATCTTAGTATAGTCTACTTGTGTGCCAAGTTATATTAAAATCAGATCAAAACTGTAGGAGGAGTAGCGTTTTGAAGGTTTTTAACAGAATTTCTATTTTTAGTAACCATGGCAACATCGTTCATTGAAATCAAAAACCGATATACAGAATTATGTATCTTAGTGTAGTCTACTTATGTGCAAAGTTATGTTGGAATCAGACCAAAACCGTAGGAGGAGTAGCGTTTTGAAAAATTGTTTACAGACGGACGGACAGACAGACACACAGACGGACACCTTACTATCGCATAAGCTCTTCTGGTCTCTGACCAGTAGAGCTAACAATGTTGGGACCCAAAGAAAGGTCTGGATTATGGAATAAACATGGGAAATATAAAAGCCCTAGCACAAACTGTTCAAAAGTTATGGCCAAGGTTAAAGTTTGGTAAAATTTTGCAAAGGTAGGTTTAACTCCAAGGTCAAGCTCAAGAGTTCAAAGTTTTTGCTGACAAATAGACAAACAGATAAACAGACAAGCAGACAGACCTAAAATATATGCCCTGAATCTTCAATTATTGGGGCATAAAAAATAACTTAAAAATGTTCAAAGGGAAAAGAACTAAAACATCAGCATTTACTTCACATGGCATAAATCCCAAAGGTTTAATAATGTGGATTAGAACATTATTCATATGTATGAACATCCCTAGGATTAAAAGCTTCACAATATTATCATTCAATACTGAATAGAAATCTGTTGATTATGCATGACAGTTTCAACATTCTTCCTTCATATATCAAAGAACCTGTCTTCTAATAAAAAAAAACTCAATAATTTACTCAATAATCCTACCTGGAGGCATGAATTGCCTGAGGGCATCTGGTATCACCACCCCATCCTCTTCTTGGTAATTTTCTAGAATGGCACATATTGTTCTGGTGGTGGCACACATAGTGGCATTCAGCATGTGGACATAATCAGCCTAAACGAGGAAAAACTGCCAAATGTATTTTGATATTTGCCAATGCTTTGTCAATAATTCCCATACCAGTAAAATCTGAGGGTTTTTTAATGTCCTAACTCCATGGTATCTCATGTGATCTCTGAACTATTTCTTTCTGTCCTTATTTGGTTGTCATTATGTCAGAGAGCATGGCTGATTCTCTCAGTGTACATTCAAATTAGTAAATATAAATTCTCAATTGTTAAGGCCAATTCTAAAATTCTGAAGCATCACTTTTTCTTATTCCCTGAATTTTAATAAAATCCAAACAGATACATTCTGATCTATAAAAAATCATGGAATTCCGAGATGATACTAATGGAACAACTTTTAAATTTTTCAATCTCATTGAAATAAGACATACCATAGGGAAAAATCACTAGGACTGATATTGCAAGCATAGGACATTTAAAGATACTACTGAATACAGGGAAATTTTCGCCCCCGTTTTATTTTCGCCCCTTTGCCCTACCCTCATTTGGGCGAATTTAAAACGGGGCGAATTCAAAGAATACAGTATAATTTCTTAAACAAAACTATGAGTGGGCGAATTTAAAATGGGGCAAAATTGTTTGCAAGTGTGAAAGGGCAAAAATAAAATGGGGCGAAAATAACCCTGTATACAGTATTTAATCCAAATCCATTGAAACTAATGGACAATTTTAATGTTTTACCTCCTGATTCATCTTTTTGGTCTGTCCATATCGTACTTTAAGTCTACGAGCCTGGTAATCCAGACAATTTGAACACGAGACAAGTTCACGGAATGCTCCAGATGCCGGAAACCAAGCCTCCAGATCCAGCTTCTTGGCTGCAGCATTATTTAATGCTCCTGAAAATTTATAATCAATAAGAAAACTATTACTTATCAATTAAAATTACAGCATTCAAACAGGAGGCCCATGGTTCATAATCCTCTGCTGATTCACCTATTTTTTTTCATCTTAAATACATAGTTAATAAGAACTCTATTGTGTAACATCAAACTTTTCAAATTTTCAACAACAAAAGAATGTTTGAATCTGTTTTATGGCAAATTTTGGTGAAACTGGTTCAATGGTTTAAGAGATGTTGAAGATATGAAAAGCTCTCTGACAAACAGATGCAAAACAAAACTAAGACTTCCATCTTGGTTGAGCTAAATTTTGACTTCGGATTTAATCCAAATATTGAATGTTTCACTTGAAATTCAGTTCACAGAATGTCATTTTGATAACATTGCAGGTTATCAAAACTGTGTAACTTGGTACTTGGAGATTAAATTTTGATAAAACAATTACTTTCTTCGGACTTCTCTACTCAGTTGACAAAGATTATATAACTAACACAATATTGACTATTCTGAACAGAATACTGACTATTCTATATGGAATTCCATACTGAGCACAATACTGACTATTCTGTATGGAATGCCATACTTGACACAATACTGACTATTCTGTAATGCCACATTGGGCACAATATTGATTATTCTGTATGGGTTGCCATACCTGACAAAATATTGACTGTTCTGTATGGAATGCCACACCTGACACAATATTGACTATTCTATATGGAATGCCAATGCCATACCTGACACAATACTGACTATTGTGTATGGAATGCCACACCTGACACAATATTGACTATTCTATATGGAATGCCAATGCCATACCTGACACAATACTGACTATTCTGTATGGAATGCCACACCTGACACAATATTGACTATTCTGTATGGAATGCCATACCTGACACAATATTGACTATTCTATATGGAGTGCCATACCTGACACAATATTGACTATTCTATATGGAACGTCATACCTGACACAATATTGACTATTCTGTATGGAATGTCATACCTGACACAATATTGACTATTCTTTATGGCGTGCCATACCTGACACAATATTGACTATTCTGTATGGAATGCCATACCTGACACAATATTGACTATTCTATATGGAATGCCAAGTAACTGATTGAACTCCTCTGCATTCAGGATCATCTCTTCAAACATTTCCCAGGACTTGTTTTCAAAGGGTGATGTCAGCACAAACTGTTCTACCTAATTAAGGAAAATTCAATAAATTTAATAAAAATGTCAGGGTTTTATTTTCAGTTTAATAGAGGATTTTTATAGATAAGTACCTATGAAATTAAAAGTTTTGTCAATTTATGGAAAATCTATGCATGCATTTATTTCAAAATATACAGTATTTCAGCTTTTGAAACATTAACCAAATTTAATATTAGAGAATTCAACACTTAAAAAGAGAAACTACAAACTAAAACATTAATAGGAAATTTCAATTACACCTTTTCAAACTGGTGGACCCTGAAAATTCCCCTGGTATCCCTCCCATGTGATCCAACTTCCTGTCTGAAGCAGGTTGAGTAGCCGAGGTACTTGATGGGGAGACTCTCTGTAGGGATCCACTCGTCTCTATGGTAGGCAGCGATTGGCTGCTCTGAGGTGGCAATCAGGTACTTCTCATCTAAAGTACTATCATCTGACTTCTCACTGCCCTTCCCTATTACCTGAAAGTGTTCAAATTTGTATCTTTATTTACCAGTGTTGTGAATAGGAGATTGCAGTTTGTTTTTCTTATTATCATTTCTTTTTACTTTTTTAATTTGGCTCAGTTTAGCTTAAAACTGAAAAAAAAACCAATGTGAATGCAGTTTTAACCTAGTGATAAACATCACTGATCACAATGTGAGGATCTAAAGTAAAGAAGTCCACATCCTTCAATACTTCTTTTTTCTTGTTTGTACTTTGAAATTGATTTAATAATTTTATGCAAAAAATTATGCATGTATTTGTTATTAATAGCTTGCTTTGCTGTCATTAAAATACACAATTTAAAATACCAGCCAGCTACCTACCTTATAGAGCTCATCATCAAACTGTGAAAGCTGGGCCACTTCCTGCATCACTTCCTTCCTCATGAAGAATGGTGTGTACAAAGGGATGTAACCCTTCACATGCAATGTCTGCATGGCTAGGTTAATGAGAGCCTGTTCTAAAAACACCAATGGTCCCTGAAACAAAAACAAAAACATAAATTAAAATTTTCAAAAGTAGATCAAACTTAAAGGTCACGGTGTCAAAATTTATTGTATATTTGGAAAGGTCTTTTCACAGGTAATGCACATATGAAATATGAAAGCCTTATCTTCTCTCATTCAATAGTTATGACCAAAGTTAAAGATTTTGTGACAGATTGACGGATAGACGAGATTTAATGTCCCCATGCTTCCGCGAAAGCCTGGGACAATTAAAGTGCCTCTTTGATCACCTTTAGGTAGTATCCTCTTCCACCAGAGGTCACTGAGCCCCGGTCAGTGTCTACCCCATCTACCATGACCACTAAGTCTACGTGTGAATATTTCTTTCTGGACTCGCAGTCTCCAAATGTTCTTTCTACTCCATTCTCTTCCTGACAAAGCAAGAATTCAGATCAATTTTCTACAGTACATCATCTCTAAACTCTATTGTGTCAAAACAAGAAAAGAAAAATTTGCTTTGGACAAATGACAGGTATTCATATACATATACATGTACTTGAATTAATTAGAAAAAAAAACCCATCATCATCAATTTTTAGAGTTAACAAGTCTAAAATTTACATATTTTGCTTTTCTGACATACACGTATGCCGTAATAATTGGTGTAATAATTGTAACTGTTACAAAATAATCAAACAACAATTCTTTCATCATCATTACCAAATAACCATAATAACTTTATAAAATGAAAGCACAATGCAAAACTGAAAAATGTACCAAGTTTTTTTTTATTATTTCAGAAAAAGCTGCTGCTGAACTCTCCAGCTTTGAATTTTGAATCTTTAGGACAAATCTACATAAGTCAGTCATTGCCAAACATTCAGTTTAAAATTCAAGTTACAACTAGTAGTGTTAAAGAAAACTGGTCTGCTGCTCAGTAAAAAACTAATACTATTTTCAGCTAATAACAATTTAAGAAATCTTTTAAGGTATAATAATAACAATTCTGGAAAATTTTAACTGCCTCTTTCTGAGCAATATCCATACACTGTACCTATATATAAGTCATCCTACCTCATCATTGCTGATGATGCAGCTCTCGTGAACAAGGTTGCCTACTTCTTTAAGTGCTTCATTTCTCTCCTGTTCATGCTTGATTAATTCGGCATCATTTACTTTCATCTGTTCATCAATCAGATTTTTGAGTTCTTTTATTTGTACTACAGTCAGATCCTGTGATGAAAATGAAATGATTCCTTTAAAAACAATTTTAAATCACATTGTATTGTATATGTAAGGTATTTAATTTCAACGTCAGCTATACTGTTATTAGGAAAATTTAGTTTTCAGTCTTTAATCAATTCCAGTATATCTGAACTAATCATTTTTAATTTAAACATCTGTATAATTTTTATTATACATTTTTTTATCTGTAATTTAAAATATAATAGATCCATTCCATCATTCATATGATGAGTTTTAAAAACGGAGTTGTCTACAAGGCCAGTTAAAAAAATGTCTGAACAGAAAATGTCAGTCCACATGACCATTTGAAAAAAAAAAAATCAGGCATTATGTAAATTTTAAAAGATTGGGATCGGGAGGTCACCTATACAACAGAGATGGCCACATGGCTGATTTAATTTGTTAAAGGTTGTCTAAGTGTAAGGAAAGAAAAGTTTGAGATGGAAAACTGTCAAAAACAATAAAGAGCATTAAAGTGCTGTTATTCTTCCTTCTGTACAAAATAAGGTAACATATTGCAGTGAAAAAACTTTTCCACCCCTCTGTCAGATAAATGTCTGATAATAATTTTTAAAATTTCCACAACTCTTAAAATAATCTTGCATAGATAGTTTTCCCTTTTTTATTCTTTTCTGCAATTTGTATATTATACTTAATGAGTGTAGAATAATGATAAACCTTGAAAAGGTATGAAGAGGGTGTAGTTATGGACCTATATTTCTTTCCATTTTCCGGAATAAAATATTAACTAATGACACTAACCTGAATTTGCTCTTTGGTGAACTCTTCTAAGTTTTCTTTGATATTATCAGGCACTGTTTTGTCATCACCCTGTGGCTGTTTTGCCTTTAAAAACATATTATAAGTAATGATATATCACAAGGTTGAATCTTCATCATATGAATTCATAAACTGTAAACTTGTGAGACAAGTCTTCAAGGTTGTCAATTCCAGATTATATTATAATACCAGCATGAGTTGAGAAAAATGAGTAATGTCAAAAATTAAAATATTGGTTTTTGATGTTTTTTAATCTTTTGACAATGAAGTTTTCTCGTAACTTTTTTGTTAAAGTTGATTTAGATACAACAACATTGATTCCTAGTATAGATCTTCTCACGTTGACATTCCCAATTGTGGAGACATTGCCACTACTTGTATAAATTTTCCTTATTTCAATGGTCTTTAATTGAAAATGACATAATGCAAAAATTTGTAAAGAACACAAATCTCAAAATAGATTAATATTACATGGAGTTAATGAAGTTCTTATTTTGCAGGCACATTAAATTGTAGCCTGGGGGAATTTAATTAAAAATGAAGAGGCATTAAGAATAAAACATGCATTTACGCTCAGTGAAAATGCGTTGCAACTGGTTTACAGGGCAAAAGAATGATTCAGTAAGCAAGGTAAATGTCTCTGCCATTTTTTTTATAACACTACCACCCCCTAACCCCCCCAACCACCACCACCACCACCACCACCCTTGCATAATGTTGCTATCATTCTTATTATTTATGTTATTTTATAATAAAAATTATATCAACATTCAAATTGTCAACAAAAGTGTTTTTCTGCAATGCATTGATAAACATAAAAGAAAGAAAAAGATTTGTATTAAGGTATGTCACTCGTCAGCTTTTTAGAAAAGTTCAGTCAGAACCTCTAACTTAAAAACTATTTATTACAATTCAATCTTTATAACATATTTAAATTAAGCAATGTAAAATGTTCAACATTCAATTAAAAAACTGCTCAAAAATTCATTAAAAAACAAGATTTATAAGGGACTATTTCTTGTGGTGGAAGGATATTTAACAGAAATTTCTGCAAATCTACACATTTATTATATTTAATATCTTGGAACTTTAGCCTTACATACTTTTACTCAGAGAATATATTCCGTTATGATATGCCTGGAATATTAAATATAGGTCTAAATTTATATTTTTATAACAAAATTTACACCTTTGCTCAACAAATTTTGCCAAGAAATGAAGATATATTAAAGAAGTCAAGAAAAAATTTAAACAGTTTTTTGCCAGAAAATCGCATATTTTGACCAATATTTCAAAATTTACATCACTGACCCCAACTTTTTCTTTCATTATTTTAAACTACTCGATACTTTTGACCGACCAGCACTTAAGTCGTAAAAAGTTTGATACAAGAAAATATTCTATTGCCTATTTAGATTTTTATTACCCCAAATATGAGACTTTTTTAGTGCAAAAAGGTCACACAATAATTCATGCCCATTAATTTGCATGAATTGTTCAATGATAAATATTATTCAAACTATTTTACGTAAATTAAGATTATGTTTATTGCCATGGTTACATCTGATAAAATATGATAACGGTTAAAGTGATTAACCAAAGAGTTACAATTTAAGTGCAAAAAAGTCAACTTCATTGTACCGTAGCTCAGTTAGATGCACACTGACACCCCATTTTCTCTGCGATATTGAGTCATACTATATGAGTACTTATCCAAAATATACTTCTCAAAAAATCCTTGATATAAGAAATTTCACGAGTGACATACCTTAAAATAGTTCATTTAACGCTAATGGCTGGGGTTTTCTTTATTTAAAGATTTTATAAAGAAATCCTCAATTATCAGTACTTCTAAAGCCTTACCCACCTTCATTTTCTCGCCTATAACTTTGCTACAGAGATTCTTCTGTTTATTCAGCAAGTCAGCTCTAAACCTTTCTGAAAATCAAAGGACGTTGGTTCAGAAATGATCAAATTAGGATACACAATTTACAAAAGTTTGAGTCTAGACTTTTAGGGTTGTTAAGTTTTTCTAGCGAGTTTCTTCTGCAGAAGATATTGCAAAGAAGTAAACAATGTACAACTATGTTTATTCATCAAACAAGTGATAGTTAATACTTATAGGGAGTTCTATTTTACATGATCAGACACACTTTGCTTGAGCAGTTTTTATAGACCCAATTTAATTCTGCCATAAGAACAGTAATTTTTTTTTTATTTGTGTGCCCATATGTGGACTCCAATTTGCGATCCTTTCTTACTTACAGTAACTCCAATTTCTGAGTCCGATTAAACTGGTAAATACAGAACAGAAGTCATAATAATGTCATGAAAACTATAATATGTTAATGCAAATTAAGCATTCTCATCCGAATTTGTGACAGATGTTTAATTCAAAATATATTTATAAAGATTCTTCATGTTATTTAAGTACATACACTGTTGAACATTCCATTGCTAAAACTTAATATATATATATAGTCTTACAAATCTAGTTTAGCATGACACTGTGTCCCAAAACACAGTAAGATTATTCTAACAACTTCAGATGATATGTAAAAAAAAACCCAAGGAATTCAGTGATTGGGCCTTTAATAAGCCAAAAACAGAGGAATTTCGAGTCATATTATTTCTTGCAAGTTGCATCATCCATCAACAAATTTGCATCATCAATAAATACCTAAGTTTCTGTATATATTTTCACATCCTGTACCTTACTACATCTAGGCAAAACGGCCGACAAATTTTAATTTCAACAAATATTTAGAGGCATAATTTCCCTGGCAGGTTAAGCTTACTTTTTCTCCACTGGGTGTCATTTTCAACTACTTTATCCACCAAAGTAACATCTTTAAAACGCTTGGCTTGGTTTTCTTTGATTTTGTCAGGATTTCCTCCTTTATCTGCCCTAAAGAGTTCAATATCTAAAACCATTTTTACGATTTAAATATTCCAAATGGTACAACAACTAATCGCCGGTGTCTAGTCTACTTCTCAACGTGGAGAGGAAGTATGAAATAAGCATGCGCACGAATGAGATCATAACATTAAAGTAGTTCCGTGTTCGCAATGTTGAATTATCACATTTCTTACGCAATCAGGCCCATAGAAAGCGAGGGGGGGGGGACTTTTTTCTGAGTATAGTTAGTATTTTATTATAGTAAATTTTCCTTTAGATGCTGGTCCCCCACTTTTTGATGTTGTAAGGTCGACTACTGAAAAATTCCATGATTAGCTTTTCTTTTTCTTTTTTTTCTTGTCAGGTTTTTTTCTTCTTGGGAAGCCCCCCCCCCCCCCCACACACACACACACTTTTGGTCAGTTTAGGTTTTTTTGTGTTTTTTGTTGTTGTTGTTTGTTTGGTTTTTGTTTTGTTTTGTTTTGTTTTTTGTTTGTTTGTTTTTGTTTTTTTTGTTTTGTTTTTTTTTTTTTGTTTTTTGTTGTTTTTTTTTTTGCTTGTCAGATTATTTTTGGAAGCTGGGGCATATAGAAAAAAAGATATGCGGGCCTGAGACTTAATTAAAGTTGTAAATTAAATTATACTTCATTGTAAATTTGACAAAATAAAGATTTCCGCTATTCTTGGAAATTTTTATTTCCAATTCTGGTCCCAAGATCATGAAGCAGACTAAAACTTAAATCAAATTTTTAATCACATGTAAGATGTTTATTATTAGTCAATGAAATCTATATATTTGCAGATAGCAGACAGTAAAGTGATGTGATGTTGAATCCCTATGCTTGTACCGTGTGTTGTATTCAAAACGAACCTTTATTTCAAAATATCTAGATCTTTGACACACGCAACGTAGTTTGAAATTCACTAGTATTTTCTCATTCCCTGTAGGCCTCGTTGAAGAGCCCTAATGATAGAAGGACCTGTGTGCGACTCTTATAATGCATATATTTGATCAGAAACCTATACTTGTACATTTTGGTTCCTGATTTGTTCCTGTACTCCTCCTCTTAAACAAAGTTTGAGGAAATATCAGCTAAAATAAGTTTGGTAATTTTTGTAAAGTTTTCTTTGAATAGCATAGGGATTTTAATCATTTTATTTCTATTCAACCCCCTGGTAATAGAGATTGTTCTATCTGACGTATCCGTATAAGTATCCGTATCCGTATACGTATCGAGCTCAGAGAGGCATCTCGATCCCGATGTCTAAACTATTTACTATAATTTCCATCGTAATTTGTTTGGTTTTAAAGCAGCCCCATTCATTTAAGAATAGCATATGGTATTTTTTCTAATAAAAAAAAATGTATTAAGCTGCTGTAAAAGTTTGTTATTTCGCTGGAAAATTTTTAAAAAAATGGATAATGAAATTCAATAAATTTGTATTTGTTTTCATTATATTGTTTAAAACTTTAATTGTAATTTTGTTTAAAAACATTTATCGGGATCCCCCTCTCTCCCTCTTAACATCAGGACATTTCATTGATTGATTCTGTAATTTACATTAGATGACATAAAAGTTAACCCCCTCACTCACACACTGAATGCAAAAGACGTTGATATCCACACAATCAATAAAACCGTTTAGCAATTTTCTAAAGAGAATCTGCTTCCAGACCCTTACCAGCATATGGTTAAAAATACCAGCCTCCTCCCCCCCCCCCCCCCCCCCCCCGAACATGCACACACAAACTTTCATATCGTCTGTTGACTTTCTTCATTCTTTTTTTTTCAATGAACTATTTGACAAATACCTGTATGTCTCCCCTTCCCCTCCCCAGTTGAAATTGCTACTTTCGGGTCTATTCTTGATTTTGTTTTATATTTTGTCCTTTCAGCAATAATAACTTGAAAAGACTTCATGGCGACAAAAATAGGTAATGAAATGAAAATTCAATTGTTAAATTTGATTTTTCTTTTTAGTTCTCTTGTTGTCGTACATGTGTATTATAATTCATGGTTTGATATAGAACTAATATAGGGTATTCATTATCTTAACTCTCTTTTTATAAGAAAGAAAAGAACATTAGACTAAATAATGCCAAAACAATAGATTTATCTATTTCTTCTATGCTACCTTGTCCATCCTGCTGATTTTTATTCATTTATATTTTTATATATTTATTTATTTATGCATTTTGGCCCAGACTGGGACAAGTGTGAGTCAATTCAACACGCAGTTCATAGAATTGAATAGAAGAGGCTGCTTCAACGTAGCAGAGAAATAAAAAAAACCCACACAGAATAAAGGATAAAATTTATACAAAACATGAAATTGATAAAATATCAACATTTTTTCAGAGTTTTGATCCCGCTTGTACACAAAGAATTACAGTCATCCTAATTTCAATAAATCAATTAAGTAAACTTCGGTCAACATGTATATAAAGTAATGTATAAGACATAAAAAAATTTCTCCGTTTATCTCCTTTTATCGACAATTGTTAATTCATCCCCGACAAAAACTGCGTGTAACTGCATCACTTTCGGAAATCGTAGTCCTTTCTCAAGCTCTCTGGAATTTCGGATAAGGCTATCACCTAACAATTTAGGTAATTTAGAGTCTTCAAACCACCCCAGAATTGCCAGTTTTCCAAAGCTTTTCTGGAGAACTATGTCCATCAAATATAATCAAATGATATACAGAATATTTATACTGATAAAAAAGAAAATGAGGATGGAAATTTTCAGTGACCCCCCCCCCCCCCCCACACACACACATAGCACATAGAGTATGCAGTATAGTCACCTTTTTATTGTCAAATTTTTGATAAGGTGACTTGTCATATTTTAGTTTCTCCCTGCCTCGGCCCAGCTTCCCCCTTCTCCACTTTGTTAATCAATTTTAAGTGTCTGCTTGATGTAGACAAACTTATACTCATCTAGAATGTTTGATCTCTGACACCCCGTACAGTTAAACTTTGTTAACTCAAACCCTTGGATATATCGAAGTTTTAATTGGTCCAATCAAGTTGCATAAGATAACGAGCGCTGACTGTATGCATTATGGGGATGATGTCTTGTACTGGTAAAGGTTACTTCTAGAATGAAACAATAATATATCCTGATATTGTGTGTGTGTGTGTGTGTGTGTGTGTGTGTGTGAGAGAGAGAGAGAGAGAGAGAGAGAGAGAGAGAGAGAGAGAGAGAAATCCCTTTTTGAACCTTTTTTTTTATTTTTAAACAATTTAATAAAAATATACGTATTTTTTTTTACTAATTTTATTTTTTTTAAATCCTTCCATAAAATGATAGGTGTGAACAGCAACTTGATACGTTTCATTAGAAATATTACTATATATCTTATTTTCCAATGAATGAGGTTAAAAAATCAAACAAGAAACGATGGAAATGTTACTCAACGGTTAAATCATCGGGATCGAGATGCCTCTCATACTTCGATACGTATACGGATACGGATACGTAAACGGATACGTCAGATAGAACAATCTCTAATAGAGATTGTTCTATCTGACGTATCCGTATACGTATCCGTATCCGTATACGTATCGAAGTATCTCGATCCCGATGATTTAACCGTTGGGTAACATTTTCATTGTTTCTTGTTTGATTTTAACCTCATTCATTAGAAAATAAGATATATAGTAATATTTCTAATGAAAAGTATCAAGTTGCTGTTCACACCTATCATTTTATGGAAGGATTTTAAAAAAATAAAATTAGTAAAAAAAAAAACGTATATTTTTATTAAATTGCTAACAAATAAAAAAAAAGGTTCAAAAAGGGACTTCTCTCTCTCTCTCTCTCTCTCTCTCTCTCTCACACACACACACACACACACACACACACACACACACACACACAATATCAGGATACATTATTGTTTCATTCTAGAAGTAACCTTTACCAGTACAAGACGTATTCCCCATAATGCATACAGTCAACGCTCGTTATCTCAAACTTGATTGGACCAATTAAAACTTCGATATATCCAAGGGTTTGAGTTAACAAAGTTTAACTGTACGAGGTGTCAGAGATCAAATATTCTAGATCAGTATAAGTTTGTCTACATCAAGCAGACACTTAAAATTGATTAACAAAGTGGAGAAGGGGGAAGCTGGGCAGAGGCAGGGAGAAACTAAAAAATGACAAGTCACCTTATCAAAACTTTGACAATAAAAAGGTGACCATACTGCATACTCTGTGTGTGTATGGGGGGGGGGGGTCACTGAAAATTTCCATCCTCATTTTCTTTTTATCATTATCAACATTCGGTATATCATTTGATTATATTTGAGGGACATAGTTCTGCAGAAAAGCTTTGGAAAACTGGCAATTCTGGGGTGGTTTGAAGACTCTAAATTCCCTAAATTGTTATGTGATAGCCGTATCCGAAATTCCAGAGAGCTTGAGAAAGGACTATATACTATTTCCGAAAGTGATGTAATTACACGCAGTTTTTGTCACGTGTTTTTGTCGGGGATGAATTAACAATTGTCGATAGAAGGAGATAAACGGAGAAAATTTTTTATGTCTCATACATTACTTTATATACATGTTGACTAAAGTTTACTTAAATGATTTATTTATTGAAATTAAGATGACTGTAATTCTTTGTGTACAAGCGGGATCAAAACTCTGAAAAAATGCTGATATTTTATCAATTATATGTTTCGTACAAATTTTATCCTTTATTCTGTGTTTTTATTTTATTTTTCTGCTATACGTTGAAGCAGCCTCTTCTATTCAATTCTATGAACTGCGTGTTGAATTGACTCACACTTGTACCAATCTGGGCCAAAATGCATAAATAAATAAATAAATAAAAATAAAAATATAAATAAATAAAAATCAGCTGGATGGACAAGGTAGCATAGAAGAAATACATGTAGATAAATCTATTGTTTTGGCATTTTTTAGTCTAATGTTCTTTTCTTTCTTATAAAAAGAGAGTTAAGATTCATAATGAATACCCTATTTTAGTTCTATATCAAACCATGAATTATCATACACATGTAAGACAACAAGAGAACTAAAAAGAAAAATCAAATTTAACAATTGAATTTTCATTTCATTACCTATTTTTGTCGCCATGAAGT